TGCCATACAGTGTTCCTTATGGAAGTACAAACTGTTGAATTCGAAGCCCAGAAGTTTTATTCAAGAATGTTCCTCAATACAAATGTATTTTGAGATCTGAGCCACTGACTGATACATGACTATATGGCAAACATTCATTTTCATGTGCATTATAGTTTACTAGGTCTAGTCTGCATTGATTTATTGCATTCATGCTGAAACTGGGAGGGGTTCTCTGGGTATGAATAAAGAGATAAACATTTCTTGATATCAAAACATTTGAGAACGGACAAAAGGAAGGATCTGAGAACGGTATCTTAGATTCTCCTTTTTCTTACAGTATATCTAATGTTCACTTTATTTCACCTGATGCATTTAGTTTTTAGCGCAGCTGTTAGCACCCGTTTCCGCGTTTCGCGGCGTCGCTGTCGGCGTAACCGCCCAACTAAACTTGGCAGGAAATTGAATTAATGTTGTGGTCATGTGACGTTAATATTTCCGCTAAGTCTAGCTGAGAAACTGAGTGTTTTTATGTATGACGTGACACGGTCATGCGACGTCATTTTCCCCGCTACTTTTAGCGGAAAAACTGCATTTGTGTTGAGGTCACGTGACATCAATTTCCGCGCTAAATTTATTGGGAAACTTAACCCGCTAAATTTAGGGGGGAATTTCCCCCTAAATGGGAGGGAGCAGAAGAAGAGGAGGGGAGGGGAAGGAGGGGCATACCCTCCCATCTTCCTCTTCGAGAGCTGTACTGTATTTTCTCATTACAGAGAATTGTAAACGTCTCATATTTCATCTCATGTTTTTTCAACTTTTATATTGCAGGTGCGCTTGCAGCACAAATCTGGGTTGTGCTGATCCTCTACGCACAAGTTAGGAACTCCTGAGTGACAAGAGTGGGAGTTTGGTCTGACAGCTCAAGGGACACCATTGTTCAGTATTGAATTTTTGATTATCTTCTTTTGAGCAAAGTTAAGCTTTGCTGCATGCAGTTCTTCTAAAAATAAATACCTGCAACCAAATTTACCAGGTCACGACATTTTGCCTCTGCTCTTAGTGCTCCTGGTGAGCCTCGGATGAGAGCTTACTGGTGTGCAAACATCATAATTGTTTGAAACCACTCACTGATGTAGAGACTTATTGACATCCAGCATTCCAATGAAACGCTGGATATCCACAATTTTTTCTTGAACAATGCAAGCGGGAAAGGAACCATACAATCATATTGTATTGGGGGACATTCTACAGAGTGTTTTTTTGTATATTTTACAGATTTAAAAAAAAAACCGTAAAAAGTCTGTACACGTGAATTATATGGCCAGGGCCGCATAGTATAAAAGGCTAATTTGTAATGATCAGTCGGCTTATTACAGAGATGTGCCAGACTTCTTTCAGAAAACTAGATGGAGGTTCATCCTCGCGTGGTTTTATCCCGCGAATCTGAATATCCCGTTCGTTTTCCACAAAGATATAACTGAACGTGAGAAAACACAAAAACATCCTTCCAATAGTGACATCGTAAGAAGACCTTTCAGCCGCCAAGTGTATGTCGCTTAAGGGCCGCGCGTCCAGTCGCAAGTTTTCTAGGTATATTCTCCCGCATTGGCACCAGTCGTGACACATTTTTCGGCCCCTTTAAAAAATAGCATGTGCGTGCATAGCTTTCATAGGCACTGAAGTTGCGTGAACAAAGATTTTGAAAGCTGCTCTTGTGACGTCGCTCTCTAGGGAAGTGCTTTCAAAGCGCTTTAAAAATGACTCTATGCAGCCTCGATTAATTAAATTAGCAAATAATTTTGATATTTGAGATTCTGGAGGTCAAATGAAGAAGATTTAAAAGTGTTTTCTCAAATACAAAACCGCTTCAGCCTCGCTCTAAGTATAGTATGTTCCTAAAATTTTTAATCAGTGAAAATAGACCCATGGTTCCAATTAGAAACTTCTAAGCATCATCAAAACACACTAAATCAATTTTCTTTGTGAAGATATAAGACAAAAGCAGCATTTTATGGTGTTCTAAAAGAATGGTCAATTTGGACGCGTTTCCAGACTTCGGTTTCTTACCAGAGCGCATCTTTGCACCTACGGTCCTGCTGCCCGGTGGCCGCAGTGCGAAGCCGCCCCCTCGCCTCCCTCGTAGGATGGAGGGAAGCAAGGCGCACGTGTGTTGCGCGTCTAAGCCCCTGGGGAACAGGACCGTGGGCGGAAAGATGAGCTCTGATGAGAAACTGAAACCTAGAAACTCGTCCAAATAAAGCATTTTTACAGAACGCGTAAAATGCTACCCCTGCATTATATCCTTCTAAAAAGAGTTGATTTTGTGGTTTTCAGTGACTCGGCAAGTTTCCAATAGAAACGATAGTTTCATTTTCACTAATTAAAAAGTTAATTAACAAATTGTATTTAATTATCTGACTGATCGTTACGACTAGGTCCCTATACTACGTACGCCTGGCCATATAACTCTCCCGCACAAATCGCATTAATTTAGCTTTCACGGCCTTTCTAAACATATATGTAAAGCTTAAAAATAAATTGCCGTGTACAACAGTGAATAGGCGAAACCACCACGTTGGAGCCATATGGCTCCAACATGCCGGTATTGCCTTTTCGCTGGTATAGGATGTCCCATATTACGTTATCCATGTATGGTTCCGTCCGCCTACAAGGTTCCGCCATAATACACTACGCCGGTATAGGATGTCCCATAATACGACACGCTTGTATGGTTCCGCCTACCTGTATCGTTCCGCCGTAATCCACTATACTGGAGCTGCCTTTTCGCTTGTATAGAATGTCCCATATTACGGTTACGCTTGTATGAGCCTTTTCCATCATCTTTCCATCATCGATATTTTCCAACAGGGTTGCTGAGAAAGCTGCGGAGCTTGCTGAGGCATACTAATTACGTTGACACATACCTTGCTGACGCATACCTTGATTAGGATGCCCGCAATGAGGCAATGTGAGCGTAGATGCAGTTCATTCACAAACTCGACTGAAGTCGCCATGAAAGACCCCCAACAACGTGTCACGTGTCTAGAGTTATATCCTTCCACGTTAAACCAAGGACGAGTTCCCTGCAGGTTGCGTTTGCCAGTAGAATACGATTGTATTTGTAAGAAAGTGTTGCTCCCCATTTCTAATAAATATTAGGCATTTAATTATATATTTGAGGATTAACGTTATTTTAAGTGTTTTTCAATGTGAACATGATTTGTTTAGAAATGGTTCAGACTATGGACGACAATGGAACGCTATTTAAAATCCGTAAAATAGTCATAAGTACAGTACAGCTAAATCCATCGTGTTCGCAGCAGAACGCACATACAGCTTAATAATATTTTTATAAAAGTTTCGATTTTGAAACGACAAAAGCAAACTCCTTTTAAATTTTGTTAGCATATAAAAACTATGGGAATTGGGGTCATTTCCTATTATCAACCTTTGCACAGTATAAACGGATCACGGGACGTTCTTAAGGTTTGACTCTGCGCAACGATCACTGCGGGTTGTCAATAAGATAGCTCCGTCCTTTCGGAACATTTTCTTCATGATCAGTCGGAGCGTCATATTGGATGTTCGAGAAAAATGCGTGAAGGGCACAGTAGGAACGCACTGAAGGCTTGGTGGCTTTTTATGGTTCAGGTCTGGCGCCTGTGTTTCCTGCGGTATCGGTGTCTGTCCTCTCGTTTGTTCATGACGGCTGTCAGCCGCGGCTTTCACGATATCCTTTCATCGGTCAGTTGGAAGCTGTGTTATGTTTCTACTCCGACGAAGCAGTGCACGAATGACGGCTCACTTAGGGGGACGGTCCGCAACGCCATCGCTCAGCAGAGACCCTCTAGAAAGTCCCGGAACCAAGGCTTTCGAACATTGGCCGAAGGGACTAACGACAACGGGTCTTCGTCTTCCTCTTTATCCACCACGAGAGAAGCGGCTGCCGCGGCGACATAAACCTCCGGGCCAATGAGGGTGGCTGCTGGACTTCATCTTCATCGAAGCCAACAGCCACCATTAATCACACCAGGATCGTGCCGGTGACGCAACATCGTCACGTGCGCGCGGCAATATTATGGGAACCTGCGGACTCGCTTTGCGGAGACTAAATGGGACTTGCCATCGGAGTCCAACATTATCTAATCATGTCCCATTCAAACATCTCCACCATTATAGTCCAAGCCCGGTTCCCAGTCTGTCCGTTACTCAGCCCCTAATAATGTATATATATGTGTAAAGAGAGAGAGAAAGAATGATAAATATTTTTTTTTTGCATTTTACAGAACTTTTTTTTTTCTCTGTCTTTCTTAGCGGGAGTAAGTGTTTTCAAGCTCGCTCAGTTCTGTGCCGTCGGGTGGTACTCAACTTTTTTTTTACTTACCGGTTTTTACTCTGAACGTAAACACCGAAACACATGAGTGACGAAAACGAGTGCTGCACGAAAGATTCCATAGCAACCGCAGTGTACGCTCTGACATTGCGGTACTGCACAGGTGTGCGTCAGAACGTCCGCGGCAGTTCGGATGGTAACCCCGCTGCGATGTCTGTTTTTGTTGCTCTTGTGTTTGGAGCTTTAGACGAGACTGCGATTAAGAAGTCGGCCCGTCGGCGGCCATGATAGCTTTCGTAGATGTTACCGGGGCAACTCCGAAAGGAGGTAAAACGAAGAAAGCATGGAGTTATGAGGAAAGAATTACGGCTCTGGTAGAATTTACTGAGTTACGTGGGCGGCGCAGACACTCGCCATTTCGGTGTGCTCAATATATCAGAACTCGGCTTTTTCCTAGGGAAAAATTTAGATTTTTACTTTACCATACTGGATTTGCGTTAGACACGTTGAAGTGCACTGCATGTGTCATTATATTCAGAATTTTTTTTTTTTCGATTTCTTGGTCACCGATTTTTATAGCTGACTTCAAGGATCAGTAAACTTTGAGAAGGTATTTACTTACTCAATCATTTATAAATACTAACTAAAATATATTTTTATAACTCAAAAAAAAAAAAAAACTTACATTCATGCCGCAATACGAGACATCAATGTCGTGACTGGAGTCACTGTCGGAAGTTTCTACCTTGGATCCATCAACAGTTGAATGGGTACTAGAAAAATTCAACACAAGTTTAGAAACAGCTAGGAAATACCATGAGGAACAAAATAGTGTGAGCGATTTTTATTTCAGATTTTAGACCTTGAAGGACCCAGTATTTTCAAAAATGTTTTAAATATTTGCGTTTCATTTTATGTAAAAACAGCCTCTTGAAGTTGTATAATGCATCTTAATCCAGAACCAGTACTACAATTATAGGTTTTGAAGTACAATGTAATTCACGTATGACGATATGGAGAAAACCCGAAAATGAAATCATTTTAACCGATTATGGCTGTACCTGGACTGGGTACCCAAAGCAAAATCGCATCGTCCTCTAGGAACTGATCGTCATAGGGGCACATTGTTACATTTGGTACCGTTATAAGCCTATTGCACTGTATTCCTTCAAATACTACCACGAATATCCACTGTTTTTCATACAGTGTTAGGTTGAATAGTAATGTCAGACTAAACTATATTTTCAAAGTATAAAACAAATTCTCTGCACACGCCAAATGTTACATAAATTTAAAGAGAGCACATCCGTCACAGCAGCCTTCATTCATGATCCATGTATATGTACACATGGTGATAATATTGCAATATAGTTTCGAACACATAAGCATATTATCAGCACCAATTCACGATTAGAGTAAGGCAAAGAAAACATAGATATTAATTGCCACAAGACCTGTGCTACCATAGATTAAGGAAATAAGAAACAATAAAAGCAAGCAGAGTATGGTACGCGGTGAAAAGAAATGTCGCGTTAGATTTAGAGCATGCGTCCTCAATGTAGTGATTAATAAAAACATATATTTTATGGCATATGGGCACTCCACGGATTATTTGCAGGCATTATATATAAAACGAATTCTACTTAAAGACCGATTGGGTGGTCTTAGAAATGTAAAAACTCGTTCAATGCTGAATTATAATTTAAAATTTTAAGAACTTTAATCACATACCAATAAAGAAGCCATAGAGTTATTATAATAAACGCTAGAGGCTCAGCTGGCGCTAGTGTCTATGGGACTTCCGGTTGCAAATTGAAGCAGACAGCATGCAGTCTACTTTTCCAGTCTCCCTATGTATTCCTAAGGGAAAACGCGCGTGAATTTTTGTCTCTTCGCCGGAAAATAACAGTAATAACTTTTTTTTTATTTCGGTTGTACCGGATAGTATGTACCTTTATTAATATTGTGAAAGTGTAATTGCTTTAGTTAAAGCATTTTTTCTTTACCACTGAACGATGTTAAACTTCGCTGCATTTCAGGCCCAAACCTCAGTTCCATGGCAAGTATGTAGAAACGAGCGACGATTCTAAGCAAAATAACAATCGAAAGGAGTGTAGAGTGTGCTCAAAGTTCGCAGCATTTCGTTAGTCTTATATATTGCTAATATGCCTGTCCTCTCACTATATGAAAATGACCCCGTCGTGCATCTTTACAAGTGGTTAAAAAAAAAAAAAAAAACGTTTGAAACGTAAATAGTAAAGTACGTGGGCTACGAAAGGTGTGTTTTCTTATTATTTCCTATGTTGGGCAGCTTTTATCGCGCACCTGTTCTCTGGCTTCTCCCTATTTGTAAAGATTTGGAGCGTGCGGGTGATGATTTGAACAGAGAACAAGCATCTTCGCATATATTCACGAGCAAAAAGAATAAAGCAGTAGTGAGTTTTTGCAAATCGGGCTATATTACGTGACTTTCAATTTATTTGATCGTCTGCAAGCACAAGGAGTTACTTATCCAGTGTTACTGCGTAGTTCTTGCCGTCTCTCTTGGTTTTCCACATGTCCTTCGTTCGTTTGTCACGTATGTCCCCATGCTGGAAAGCGCTGACGCCGTGTTCGCGCTAACAGTGCCCGACAGGGCACATAAATACATGTACGAAGTGGTTTCAGCACCGTTTTTCATGCCACGATTTTAAAATAAAAACACCGTAACTGACCAATTATTTAATCTGCGTGTCTGGGAAATGTTCCAATGTGCCTAGTAGGTACGGATTATTCGTGATATTTGCTCTTATAATCGAGCGCAAAGAGGAAATGCACTCTATTTTTTCCGTAGAAATGCATTACCAGAAGTCAATTTCGGACTGCTTGCTGTCTGCTTCAATTTGCAACAGCACACTAGCGCCAGTTGAACCTCTAGCGTATATTATAATAACTATGAAAGAAACCAAACGGTATCCCGTCTTTCAATTCGCTAAGTACAGTTTTGTGGTAACTGATACGGGTCTTAATATTTGGTCAAACACTTTATCATCCCAGGCTTGCTTGTGCGCAAGTGGTTTTACTGTTTTATTTTATCTATCATCATCAATATCGCTGCAATAACACCACACCAGGGTGTTTTAAATTCATTTACTGCTAGATGAAAGAAAAAGGCTCTTACATAAAACACTTTTTAAGTGAACAGATTCCGTGGTAAAAATATCCCTGTGTTCAGGATATTTTATTTTGGAGGGAAACTTCAGTGGTTGACATTGGCTGACATAAAAAAATATGCTTTTTTTTATGTCAGCCAAATTTTCTCTCCTTCTAAAATCATCCCGTTGTGCATGTGACATCCTACGTCAGATAAATTCTTTGTCAGTACGATATATTCCACTCGCTACGACAACAAATATTGTCCAGGTTAAATAATGATAATTATTCCCACTTATTCCAAAGCTGACTTTACTTTTCTAAATCAGCGCTTTTGTCGCCACTCCAACTTACCATGCACCTGAGCTCGGCTGAAGGAATGATATAAGTACGATTAGAAAGACCCTAATTATTTATAAGAAGAGGGCTTGTGTTCGCCACTCATTCCCCCAGAGCTTGCATAATTGGAAATTTTAGAAACAAAGTGTGGAGATTCACAGTATTTTCGAATCATATAGGTCGTACGAAATCTTAAAAATGTTAAACCTATGATATCTAGAGGAATGCGGCAAAGAGCTTCGATTTAATTGCTCGAGGAAAGTTTTAATATTTTACGGTGAGTAATGTTTTATTGTTCAAACTTTAGATCTCTCAGATTAATAAAATAAGAGTATTTAATACACAATAAGTTCGTTTTATTTTGGTTGATACAAAACAAAAACAAGGTTAAAAAGCTGCTGCGGCAGCTTGACGAAATCCTGAGTCCCTGGCATGGGTTGACGGCAAACGAAACATTAGATGCAAATAAAAATTTATTTTCTAAAAAGAAACACAAACACGAGCGCAGTTGCTTGCAATAATAAGATAATGTATACGTCGAAAATTATAATATAAACTCCAGCACAACTACTTATACAACTGCACGAATACAGATTTTCAAATTGAAAACATAACTCAAACTTGGAGACGAGACTACACACAGCAGGCAACACGTCGAAAACTATAGATTATCGATAGTAAAATGTTAATAAAATTGTATTTTAGTTAAAAAGACATATTTACGACATTAGCACCCAGCCCCTGAAGGAACACCACATGAAGTACGAAGTAGTTGATATATTTGCATAACAAACATATTTTGTATGCCTTGCAATCTTTCAGTTGTTTTTGTTCCTTCATATTGGTGCACCAAATCTAAAATGTAAATAAAAAATAAAAACGACGTTATCTTTGCCTAAATGCTAACATCCAGCCACAACAAAGTAGTTACTAAATCCGTTGATATTAGTATTGACGAAACAGTATCCAATTGCAAATGAAACGTGTTTCCAGAGGAAGGAAGACATGTTAAAATACAAGCGCGCTAGGCGACGTCCATATAACAAGAAACAAGACTTTACATTAAAACAAATACTGACAAGAAAATTAAACCAGATTTGTAATAGTCAATAATCGACCATTTTGTCTGGCATAAAACAAGCTATAATACACATCTTTCTCACCGTGCTGATCATAAATAAGCAAGGAACAAAAAAGCATGAGAACAGACGATATTCATTGAAATCAATGACCCGGTCTTGGAGGAGCCCTGGATGCTTTTCCATGTACACAGCAAATAATTAGTCTCTTAAAAAAATATTTTTTTTAAACCATCCTTGAATCAAATATAAAATATTCTTAGATGGACGCAACTTTCTCCCCAATAAGGTTTGTGGATTGATCTATATTTGTGGAAATACTCTGGAAGCTGCATATTTGATCATTCGATGCCAATGACTTGAAGTCGTGGCACATTGATTAGGGAGCTCGACAAAAAAATAATACATATTGTCCACTTGAGGAGTGTGATTTAATAAAAACGTAATGAAGAAGAAGTTTTTGTATTAAGGAAGGGTAGTTTTATTTACTAGCTTAAAATTATTTAGACTGTCCGAATGCTTGATAGTGTCTACATATTTTTTTTGTGGATAATCTTGTGCGATATTAACCTACTTTGGTTACATGCATCGGCAACATACGATCTAACATGGCCACACCTGAAATCTACTGTAACTTACAAAAAGAATAATTTTGCGTCGCAAAAGCTGCCACGAATTTGGGTACCAAACGCTCCGGAGCCTAAAGGATGGCAGTGTATTTTGTCTCGAACGACTACGATGAACAGAAATCTGGCTTGCCTTAATAGTACCAGTAAATTGCCAAGAAAACTACCAAAAGGTATATTTTTATATATTGCGGCTGTTATAATGTTAAAAAAAAATGAAAAGCTAAAAATAAATTCTCAATTAAGCGAACTGGTGCGTACAAAATTATAGAAAATGCATCCGTGCATAGCTCGATGGCTACGAAAGAGCGACTGACTCCATGTTGAACTATCTGCTTTATTGATACAAACTTCACAGTCTAGAACATTCCATACAGGAACAAGGGATACGTTACAAGATGCTACCGAAACTGTCTAAAAGAGCCACGAAAATGAAATTAAAGAAATAAAGAATTAGGAACCCATGCCATCCGGCGTGGCCACCAGCGATGCCCAATTGGTCAGAAACGTAGCAATATCTCATAATCTGAAAAGGTATTTATTATGAAATACAGGACTTATTTAAGTTCAAACGTTATACGTATAGGCTTCACTCAAGAAAATAACACTTACTTGGCATGATACCCAATGGCAATGAATACGGCAATTTGATGAAAGGTAAAGGCGTTGAGCTCCATCCCAAGATCTTAATCAAGGATCTAGTGGATAGTGCTGGAAACAGGTGTCTTTATAGCTAACGAAGAGACAAACAAGGTGTACTTTATTCTTAGAGACTTTCCATCTGACGTCATACCTCCATCGCCTGCGAAAGCTTGCCGGCGACATCTACAAAATATAAACTTTTTTTAATATTGTTACACGGAGCCGTTGCACAGTACGAACCACCATAGAAGTACCTCTAACATTTATTTTTTTCATCATAGAAGCATGAGTCATATGATCATGTAAGAAAACATGAAAGGGTATGTTGTGCTCTTACGTGGCAGTAGGAGTTAAAGAAAGCATGTGGTAAGACTATCGGTTTCGTGTAAATGCAGAGTGCAAGTTCGTCTGCCTCTTGCACAGCGGTTGCAACGACGGCAGAACGCCAACCTATTTTTGGCAGTTTGGAAAAAAATAGTGGGCAGGACCTCAAGACAGATAGCATTGAGGCCTACCCACTATCGTTCCACTCAAAGCCAATCAGAACTTGGTGTCGTTCGGACGACAACGCAAGTCCTCTGCAAGAAAACTACGACTTGCTCTCCGCATAGCGTTGAAAATATCAACATTATTACGTAAGCTGTTTGTAACATTGTAAAATTATCAGTTCAAGTAATCGTTATCTTTTGCATAAGGTTGGTAAAAAAAATATTAATAAATTGTTTCATTTCACTTTACAACGCTAGAAAAGAGTCTCGCATGCGAATACTTCGAACGCTAAAAGCATTGCAGGATTGATTAAAAAAAACTCGAGACTCGTGACAGCATTTTCCTGAATTCACTAAGCGATATTTAAGATATTATTTTCGATACTTGAATTTTTTTCATAACGCAAGTTATATGAGAGGTGTCAGTGTATAAAAAAAGGGCCTCGGATGAATCGAAATATAGATAAGTAAACAAGCGTGTCTCCGCCAACGTCATACTAAATAGGGTCGCCAATGATAGGTCGATTCCCAAAGTAAAATGTACTTTGAAAATGTAAATACCTTTCATTGTAGTAGTGGCGTTTGAATTTCCGTCCTCAAATTATATAAAATATAGGTATATTGTAAGATGACTTCGGAAATTGGAAACAGCGCGCAAAAAGACGAAGACGACGAGAGAAGAGCACAGGACAAGCGCTGACTATCAACTGAGGTTTTATTAAAAACGACTCAAACAAGAAAACACCACACAGCCAACCAACGCCGAAACAACCAATGGCCGTGTCGCTCACCAGTCATCTATAAAATCTATTTCTTTTTTGTGAAGATAAACTGAAGGTTGGCTGACGCAGTGCCCCGCGCCAGCTTTTTCGATAGCATTAGCCTCCAGCACCTCTCTTTGCACTTTTGTGCGCACTTTAGCGGGGGATGTTGAGCTGAACCCGAGTCCAGAAACGAGGACTGAAAAAATGACGGCCGAAATTCTAGAAACCCAAAAACGCATAAGCCTTGGCATTAAATAAATCAAAGAAAACCGAAATAGATTCCAAAAAAGAATGGACAAACTTACAAGAAACATTAAACAACTTGAAACTTCCGTCAAGAACAGTGGCGCCAAAGTCAGTGGCCTTGAAGATACCGTCAAAAAGTTGAATGCGACCATTCAAACCCAACAGGAGAAACTTGTCTACCTAGAAGATCGTAGTCGAAGAAACAACTTGGCAATCTTTGTATTGCTGAGAACCAAGACGAAAAAAAAAAAAAAAGATGTAAAATCGAAAGTAGTCGCCGATGTTTTCCAAAACCGCCTTGGAGTTACAGTAAAGTCGATTGCTTCGGAGTTACAGTAAAGTCGATCGACTGGAGTTAGAGTAAATTCGACAGTAAAGTCGACAGCACAGAATTGGACGGAAGCAACCCAAACAAAATTCGGCCAGTAATCCTGAACTTTGCGGACTTCAATGAAAAAATAGAAATATTTCGAAACTGTAAACAATTGAAGGGCCCAAGAATGTCTATTTCAGACGGCTTTTCACGGACCACGATAACCAGACGAAAGATTCTCTGGGAAAGTGCGAGAGCAGAGAAGTATAATGGCTCGCGTGTAAAGCTCGTTGGAGATGAGATTAAGATAATCGATGATTTCTACTGGGCGCACGACGAGGATAACTGCCGCGTCAAACTTAAAAGGAATAGATCCGATAATATTGAAGGGTGACTCGCGGGAAAAGAAAAAAACCGGAATTACGTGTCATAAATCTAAACGCGCGCAGTTTAGCTATTAAAGTTATTCAACTCGAGCATGTACTAATTGCTTTATAACCCCCATGTTGTCGTAGTAACAGAAACACGGTTACACCCTGAAATAAGTAATGGAGTTACAGCCAGCAGGCTATACGATGGTTAGAAAAGATACGAAAACGAGATGATGAGCGTAGCTTTGATTCTTAAAGATAACATCGACTTTGTAGTAATAAAATATATTAAGTAAGTTGAATGTATATTGTGTAAAATGAACCTTTATAATAACACTACGTCGTCTGTGCATTTTATAGGCATCCGGATGCTCCTAATTCAGACTTGGAAACACTACACGATCATCTTCATTAGACTCGGAACCAGACTAATCATGGCTGCGGATGTTAACTTGCCTCAAATTAATTTGGATGAGCTTGATGAATGACATATAGATGTCGTTAATAGCGAACTCCTCGATATTGCATTTAACAATTGCCTGACGCAAGTTGTTACGGGTTTTACTCGTGAAGTTGGAAAGAGCTGCGCGTTTTTGTAAGTAGTCATTTACTCAAGTATGAAGTGTCTGTTTATGAGGGTATCCCAGATCATAAATTATATTGTCATGTTTCAAGACTGCTAAAATTTGCAAACAAACAGAGTGTTCTATCCAAGTGCCTAATTTTTCTAAAACGAACGACGAAGGTGCGCTAGATTACCTCAATCTGTTATTTTCTCGGTTTTCAACTTTCGATGGTACAAGTGACGTGGATTTTTATTGGGCTCACTTTAAACGCATTGTTACCTGATTCTTAAATTATTTTATACCAAAACGGAAGAAATCAATGAAAAATCTAATCTATGGGTAACCCGAGAGATCGTACAGCTCTAGCGTAAATTAAAATGGCAAACGTTGTTAAAGAAAGGAAAAGGAGGAAGAGTTCCTCGAGCTTTCATATATTTTAAAGCAAAAGCTGAGTTCAGCGAAGGGACGTTATTTTGTACACCAACTGTTATGAGGAATTCACCCCACAAATTTTGGCATCACTTAAAACCTCGGAAAGAAAATATCACTGACAACAATAAAATTCTTACGGATCCAAAATATATTTCTGATAGGTTTACGAACTTTTTCATGATGTGTTTGTTAATACAGACGATGCTATAGAGGAGTTGAGCTTCAATGAGGCAAGTAGTAGTAGGGGGGATATAATAATCACTGAAGAGGGAGTCTTTTTATTGCTACCTATCTTAGACGTAAAGAAGTCACCGAACGAATTTTTAAAACGATATACAGATAATGTTTAAAAATATATTACCCTTATTTTTCAAACGTCACTAAAGCATAACCATGCCCCTCCCCGATAGGCATAGTCAGGCACGTAGCCAGTATTTTGTTTCGGGGGGGGGGGGGGGGGCCCACCCATGACAAAATGCTGTATGAGGGGGAGGGGGGAGAGGAGGTCCCAGCAAAATGGAAGATTTCGGGGGGGGGGGGGGCCTGGGCCTCATGGGCCTCCCCCCTGGATACGTGCCTGGGCATAGTGCGAGAGTCGTACCATTCGTTAACCTAGGAAGTAAGCATAATATCAAAAACTACCGCCCGTGCATGGTATGCAAATTATTTGAGCATATTATTTCTAGATCATTATACCAGTATTTTAAATCCTCCAACATTTTTTTTTTTCATTCTAACCAACATGGGGTTTGTTAGCTGCTATCGACGGTCACGCAACTCATACAAACATTAGACGATTCTGCCGCTTCTTCTATGAGAGATGACAGATTGATGCGATATGCCTTGACCTTTCTAAGGAGTTTGATAGAGTATCACACAGTGGACTACTTCATAAACTTTCTTTGCATGGTGTAAATCATAGCGTGATATTGTGGATCAGGGCGTATTTATTTAATCGGATGCAGTATGTAGAGGTTAACGGTGACTGTTCAGTAGCATCTGAAGTGCCCTCGGGCGTCCCCCAGGGGTCAGTACTCGGGCCAGTATAATTTTTAATTTACATTAGTGATATCGCGGTGGAAATAAACCAAGGAATTACTGTGCGGCTATTTGCAGATGATTCTCTGGTATACTAAAAAATCAGGGAGGAAGACCGACCCGAGCAAATCAAGTGCATTCGTTGGGTATATTCAGAATTGGTGCTCAAAATAGAAGATGAATATTAATACGCAAAAGGAGTGTTTTCAGAAATAACAAAACTAAAAATGTTCTTTCTTTTACTTACGAGCTTTAAAAAAAAATTTAGTGTGGCACTTTCTAATGACATAAGTTGGATTAAGCAAATAAATGAAATATGTTACAAAGCAATGAAAAAGCTTTGGTTTTTATGAAGAAATCTAAGCAGTGCTCCGCCTAAAGTGAGGATAATGGCCTAAACAACGTATATTAGGCCTACCTTGGAGTACGCTGCCCTATAGAAAAAATCAAACTGGTGAACTCCAACAAGTTTAGAAGAAGGCGGTGCAATTTATTCTATCCAAATACGAGCTACACGATTCTGTCACAGATATGCTGTACAGAATAAATCCCCCATTCCTTTCCGTCCGTCCAAAAATTGCTCGACTAAAGTATTTCTTTATGTTTTCTCATCACCTTTATAACTTTAACCCGGATTCTAGATTAACATATCGCGCATCGAGAGAACTCAGATTCGTTCGCACTTATCAGTTTAAAATGCCCAAACGTAATATTGACGCTTCTCAGTTGTTTTCCCCTAGATAAATAAAATACGAAGAAAGGCACAGCAAAGCGGATGATTCATCAGGGCAGACGGAGGGGCGCTCAAAGTCAAAGC